GAGTAACGAAACATTTGTGTTCTACGATATAGTTATTATTAGATAGGTTAGGAGAATCGTTTTAGATGAATGACTGGTTTCATCGTGCATACAAAGTGACCTGCGACGTGTAGCGCGTATTACCGTATAGGTTATGTTTCTTTGTGAAAAAATAAATGGAAGGATAAGAGCAGTTTTTGAACACGGCTTTGTTTTTAAAATGAACGATTTTCAAAATGTACACGTAGGTAGTAGCGTGCATTTAACTTTCATATCAATAAATCAATGATAGTTCGTATCGATAAGAAACCAGTAGGTAATAAGTAAACTGCAACATAAATCATGTTTACGAACGTATCCACGAATACGAATAGAAAGAGATACGTAAATTAATACAACTTATTAAGTTATTACGTGCTTAAGAGTTAACGTGCACCTGGTACATTTTCAAAGTTGTTTTTTTTCGAAGATGAAGGCATATTTAAAAATGTTCATACTTCATATTTCATTACGGAAGATTACTTTGTGCTAGATAATATGGGCTATACTTTTCGAGCTATCCTATATAGCGACGTGAAAAAATCTAGTTGAATCTTTCGCTACATTCTTCATGCGTTAATTCAATAATTTTTTAAATATACTAGACTAGTTATTTTTATTGATGATATCATCTTTTTCTGCGCGATATGACTTCGTACATTGATTAAGGTCTATTTTGAATCAAATTAAGACTTTTACACGCTACTGTAGAACATACAGTAGAAAGTAATTGAAGTTTCTGGGCTGCATAACGCGGATAACTCGATCTGATCGTAAAACTTAATGCATAATCGATTCCTTTTTGTTTTAATGTAGAAAGCAATGTTTCGGTTAGAAACAAAGATCATTAAATTAGCCCATGATGGTTATTGTCGAATTAAATTCACAGTATACGAAAGTGTTGATGTTATAAAATAAATACTTGATGTCGTAAAATGTACTATATATACCAGTTATAAATATATTTTATACGTTAAATTGTAATAGTTTAATGAACGAGGAAAGAAAGAATGAAATTAATTTTAGTAAATAATAATAAACTCCTGTATTACGATGATCACTATAATGTTCCGCGTTGTAAGCAGATAACATAATCGTTAAACGATATTGTGCTTCTGGAATTAAACAATTTATGGTGTGTTTTATCTCTTTTATTTTGAGAATCTTTGAAATTGGTATACCACTTTCTTCCTTATTTTCTTTCTTACATATATCGATACATTACATTATGAATTCCTTGCTAACTCGTTCCCTATTTTTAAAATTGGCTTCTACATTCTTAACGTTTAAAAATATTATATCAATTATATTAAATTAATTGTAAAATTAAAGCAGAATAAAACATACTCTATATACATAATAAATTTAATTATATATGTATGTAGTATTATAATTAGTTTAAGTTTAATTTTTGCATGGAATACGCATTCAAAATTATACTCGAGTATCGAGAGAGAGGTTCTGGCCTCGCGTCAACCCCCGCTGAGGGTCGTAGTGTTAAAGCAGTAGCGTGACTCCGCTCTGCCATCCCCTCTGCTCGATTGCCAGGGACAAACAAAAGCGTCTTGCGGTCTAGCAGCCAGGTTCCGTGACGATGCGGCACAGCCGCGAGACCACAGGACCACCCGATGTGCCGGGCATCCGAATTAATTATTTGTTTTAATATAAGATCCGCGGGGTGTGATTTAGTTGGCCGCC